ATGTAGGTTATTAAACAATATTTAGCATACTTAAAATAATTCTTAAAATAATAATAAAAAATAAAAAATAATAATAATAATAAAAAATAAATAAAATAAAATAAATAAATAAATAAAAGGAGTTAAAAAAAAAACAATAATAAAAAAAAAGAAAAAAAAGAATAAAATAAGAAGAGATAAAGTATAGAAAAAGAAAATGGCCGGTAATAAGAGAAGTTGCAAGAAAAGTTAATAAAAAGAATAAGAAATAATAAAAAGAAAAGAGTAATGGAAGAGCCAAAAATAGAGTATAAGAATAGAATTGAGAAATCACTAACACAACATTAGCAGCAAAAGCGTATGCCAATGCTTATGCCTGGGCATTGTGAGTGATTTCCCTAAGATAAGCTGATAGTACACTTTTTATTTTAGGAGGAGAGAGCTCTAAGGAAAAAACGTGATAATATTTATTAAAATTAACACAAAGAACATGAAACGCACTGTGCAAAGAATAATCCCTAGTGCACACAGGTAAATGAAGCGGACGATAGTGTCTAGTTGATCGGGACGGAACCAAAAAATTTAGACGACCCAACAAAGAGGACGAATCAATATCACCACTAATCAATTTATGCAGAAAAACAATTCCTAAAATTGTTCTGCGATTGGTTAGCGATGGAAGATCAATTAGCTGGAGCCTACTATGATAAGACGGTAATCGTAAATTACTGTCCCATCTAAGGTCTCTTAAGGCAAAGAGAAGAAACTGTTTTTGGACCGATTCGATACGATCCTGATACAGTTTATGTTGCGGAGACCATACGACAGAACAATACTCTAGGATAGGACGCACAAGCGAAGTAAATAAGCGCTTGGTAATAAAAGGATCTTTAAATTCCTTAGACCAACGTTTAATAAAGCCAAGCACACTTTTGGCTTCATTAATTATGGTAGAAATATGAAGATTAAAGTTAAGTTTACAGTCAAAGAATACACCAAGATCTTTGACTGTAAAGATGCGTCGTAAGGAATTATTGCTAATTTTATAATCAACAATTAGAGGAACGGTACGACTGAAGGTCATTGTCATACACTTTGAGCAATTTAGGTCAAGCTGGTTTGCCACACACCAAAGTTGAAATGCATTTAGGTCATCTTGAAGGTGAAGATGTCCATTTGCCCTGGAGTATGGAAGGCAAAGTTTTACATCATCAGCATACATAAATATAGTGGAATACGAGATACAACTAGGAAGGTCATTTATAAAAAGGGAAAAGAGCAATGGGCCCAAATGGCTACCCTGAGGTACACCAGACGAAACAAAGATAAGTTTAGACATAGCTGTTCTCAGCAAGACTCTTTGGGTTCTACCCGTTAAATAGGATGAAATCCAAGAGACAAGACTGGGTGAAAATCCTAAGCGTTCAAGCTTAAGAATTAGTATGTAATGATGTACTGAGTCAAATGCTTTACTGAAGTCCGTATAAATAACATAGGTTTGCATTTTTTGGAAAAGCTGTCATTAACAAGCGACGTGAACTCAAGTAAATTAGAGGACGTAGATCGATTTTGAACAAAACCATGTTGAGATGGTTGAATAATCGATTTGCAAAAATGCTGCAAGGCCGATGTTATGATTTTCTCAAATAACTTCGGAATAGCAGATAATTTCGCGATGCCTCTATAATTGGAAATATCAGATCTTCCACCTTTTTTATATAAGGGAATGATGAAAGATTCTTTCCAAATTGAAGGGAACACAGAAGTATCCAAGGACAAGTTAAACAATTTTAGTAATTGTGACTGAAGAGAAACACTGCACTCTTTAATCACACAACTAGGAATATTATCAGCACCAGGAGAGAAAGATGATTTCAATGTCTTAATGGCTGCAGCCAGAGAGGATGCAGTAACTTTGGGAGTATTTACAGATCCATATTCAGGAAGAGAATAAGGATATGAGTTGCTGTAGAGATCAGCAGAAGAATAAGTGGATTGAAAAAAATCAGCAAATAGATCAGAGGAATCCTGATCATTGCATGTTTTTTCACCTCCAAGGACAAATGAGGACGGCAAACCAGAGGATTTACGCTTCGAGTTTACAAATGAGAAAAATTGTTTGGGATCACGTGTAAACTGACGTTTGCAACGTGTAAGATAATTCTCATAACAGCTAGAATTTAAAAGATTGAAGTTTGACTTGGCAATGGAATATTTGGACCAGTCAATACTTGAACCAGACTTTTTGTAATTTTTAAAACATTTAGTTTTAATGTTTCTCAAGTTCGAAAGAGTTTTGGTGAACCAAGGTGGCTTTTTTGAAACTGGCGAAATACGGCGGAGAGGGACACAAACATCCAGAATAGAGTTTAAGGTAGAATAAAAAAACGATGCTGCTAAATTAATATCAACCGACTCATATAAAATAGACCAGTCTGTTGAATTAATTAGTTCGTTAAGCAAAACGAAATTGCATTTACGATAACAGCGACTAAGTTTAGAAGGCATTGGAGTATTAGAGGGAGGATTGTCGATAGTTAATAAAACCTCTAAAGTGGGATGATATATATCCTCAGGTAAGGAGAAAGGAGTTGATCTCGCGACATTAATGAGCGAATCATGATTAACAAACACAAGATCAAGAGTGCGATTAAGATGGTTTGAAATAGAGTTCATCTGAAACATAGACAGGTTAAACAATTCATCAAAAAGATAGTGATCAATTGTCGGAATAAAGTAATTTGCATTACAAGTTGAAGACCAAGAAGTGTTCGGAATATTAAAATCACCCAACACAAGAAGACAATCTCTATCATTTACATGTTCATTAACTTGTTTAATACAATTTATGTGGTGAGCATAAACTTGTACATCAGAAGAGGGAGGGATATAAGAACATGTGATGTATAATGAGCACGATGGCAGAGTTAATTTAACCGCTATAATCTCCACATCATAAAGGGACGAAAAGGTAAACAATTCAGAGTGGATAATGGACTTAACCGCAATTAACACCCCACCACCTCTGCGCGACGAACGGTCGAGTCTATAAATAGTGAAATTACTTGAAAGAATTTCACTATTATGAATATTACTACTTAGCCATGTTTCAGTGAAAGCGATAATATCATATTGTACACTGAAACTATGCAAGAAAAGACTTTTAAGTTTTGAGTTTAAGCCACGTACATTTTGATAAATCAGGGACAGCTGAGAAGAGGTTTGTAAGTAATTTAGTTTTTTGGTACAACGTTTGATGAAGATTGCACCGAAGGTAAATTTACTGAAATAGGCATCGATCTGTTACGATTTTTGGGTTTAAATTCATGAACAACTACATGAGGTGGCCAGAAATTAGGGTCACAAAGGGTTTTAAAGTGTTCTACAGGCACATTGATTTTGAACGAAGCAATTTCACGCGGTGTCGCAAAACTAAACTTCGATATAAAAACATTAGCCGGAATCTTATTTGAGATAAAAGCCGATACTGCCTCAATGGTAGTGTCAGATGAAAGCCTAGATAAGAAAACTTGCTTTCTAGGAGAGACAACAGATAAGGTAATGCTATGAGAGGCTGACTTATTGTCACTCTTTGTTTGAGCAACAATAGAAGTAGCATCCAAATTTGGGACAGGGGCTTGAGTTTCAATAGAAGCCTCAATAAAAGAAATAGATATGGGACAAGGTGAAGGAGGATCTAGAGAATTGGGCGCCGACGACAAAACAGAAGCGCAAGGTGAGGGAGGAGCAAGCGAATTAGATGACGGTACTATTACAGAAGGAGTTACCGACAACAAAGGAGTATCCAATTGAGAGAGAGGACTTTCAAAGCCGTACTGATTTAAGATTACCTCAGCAGCAGCCATGTCACTGGTCAACTGCATAGAAATCTTCTTCAGTTTTAAAAACTGAGACCTCACAGCACTATACATTTTAGAAAAGTTTATTTGTTTTTCCAAACAAATCGGACAAGACCAGCGTATGCCTCCACTACCAGCTTTAGTAGTAGACATAATCTTGTCATATTCACGCCCAGTAAGACCTGCACACTTAGTATGCATCATGTTATCACACAGCCAGCAACTTATAAATTGCGCTTGTGCAGAATCAACTGTTTGCCTGAAAGTGCAAGCTTTTTTGCAGCAACTCATATTGGCAATCGGGATAGATCACAAAATTACTGAATGTAAACAGAAATGTCACAACAAAGAGAGGTATAAATGTGTTGAGAGCGAGTCCAACAACAAACAGCCGTTACAGAGCGCAACGAAAATATATGTTGAGAGAGCGAGTCAACAACAAAAACAGCCGTTACGGAGCAGATCAAAAGTCCTCAGCGAGAGAGTATACTTGCACACCACAAAAATCAAAGATTCAAGAGAGGCAAATACAACAACCGTAGATAGTGAGAGCAACTTATGCACACACTCACACAAACTTAGAAAGAGTGAACTGGGGAGAGCGCCAACAAATAGAAACACTAAAGCAAAAATGCAAATAATGAAACTAATGAACCGACACTGCACACAAAGCTTCACAAATTAAAAAAGCAAATTATTAAAAACGCAGTGAACAACGGATCAAACCTTGCACAGGATAATATAGATATTTGCTGTATACAACCGAACCGCAATTATGTGAAATTTAATAAAAATAATTAACTAAGAAAACAAGAATAATTGAAGAGCACAATAGTAAACACGTCTGTTAACTCTCACTGAGAACTCTCTGAATATACTCCGGTTGACATCATTTGTGAATGAGTATTCTGCAATAGGTATCTTGTTGAATTTTATTATCAAAATAGGTGCTCTGTTAAGAAAGTTCATCGCGCGAGTTACCATCTCAGCCCCTTCACTTCCCCCTGAGATGGCCCCCACCAAACCGCATCGGTTCAGCACAGCACATTGCTCCAATTCGTGTGGGCACGACTGCTGACCAAGACTATGTTGCGAAACTGCAACATCAGCTTTGGGCAGGATGTCGCGACACATATAAACAAAAGATACATTACAGTCAGCTTGGTTTAGATTTAGCGATATATATATTTTCTTGAATAAATGTATGCTCAGTTCGAATCGAGCAAGTAAAGACGGAGGTCTTTTTCATTACAATCAAAGAATTACACAGTAATATCTCTAGCAACAGCATCTGGATCGTCTCATTACTGACAATTGATACGCAGCACTCCCCATCCATCCTCCGAGGACGACTCCAGACTGGTAACTGGCGCAGCCGCACAAGAAGAACCTACCATGAGGAATCTCGTAATATTAGTTATCATGTAAGCAGTAAGAATCTAATTCACACAAAAGTTAAATATACATTCTCTTGCGTAAATAAATATAAAGACGAGATGTATAACGCAAAAAACAAAGCTCCAAAAGTGTTAAAAGTGCTACGGTGGAACGTAGAAATGCGAAACGAAAAAAAAAGAAAAAAAAAAAAAAAACTGTGGTTGTGCATGTGCATACATATGTGTGTGTAAAACAAACTGTGTCGTTTGCGAGTGCTAACAAAAACTAAAACAAAAATTCTTAAACGTGCATATGTACATGTATTTATGCATGAATATCATATTTCAATAAAGTGAAAAGAATAAGAGAAGCGCACACGGACAGACGCAGACACGAAATACATATATAATATGTACATGCATAGATAACATATACATAATTGTTTTCCCTTTACATACATAACCGAAAAGTAATAAAAATAAAAAACACATTAAGAACCGCCCACGCCAACGAGTTCTGTGCATTTTCGGTTTGAGTTAGCATGTTGCGTCGTGTCATACGTTCAGGGCATATGAACAGACGCAGCCAACATGACGCGACGTTTACGACAAACTTGCTGCATTCAAACTGGTCGGCCGAACCAATTCGTCAGCGCGACTTATTGGGGCGACATACGACTTGTTGCACAGACACTGTCTGAACATCACGAACACGAATACATATATATATATATAAAAACAAGTAAGAAGGCTCAAGTCGAGACTGCTCGACTAGGAGATACCCTGAACCCTCTAATCTGATATTCTAATCACTCTGCACTTCTTTTCGGCACGTACATACACATCCACGTATTAGAACGCGCTCTGCTAACTGCGCAGTAAGCAGCGACTGCGCTTGTGCTGCGCTGCAGTGTGGGCAACATTATAAGGATTTATTTCTTGAATATTAATGAAACTTTCAGAACGTAATCATAATATTCAAATGTATGTACATTCCAAAGCACAAGTCTCTAGTACTTGAAATACGCCTTTTACAAAGGTGAGGGTGAGGGGGTGGATATAGGGGTGGGGGGTAAATTACAAGAAAAATCGAAATTGTATAAAGTGCATATAAGTCTACATATAAAATTTGGAAGCTCTAGCTCTAAAGGTGTAAGAGGTATAATTAAATAACTAGCTTTCGATAAGGTTTTTGATCGATAATAAATTATCGGGAGTAGTTATCGATATAAAAAGAAAAACTTGATATGCGCGTGATATACACGGACCTAGGAAAAAAAATTTCAAGTCTCTAGCTCTTATATCTTCGGAAATCGACGCGTTCATACATACGGACGGACGGACGGACGGACGGACGGACGGACGGACGGACAGACAGACGGACAGGGCCAAATCGACTTAGCTCGTCGCCCTGATCAAGAATATATATACTTTGTGGGGTCTGCCACGCCTCCTTCTGCCTGTTACATACTTTTAACAAAACCATTATACCCTGATTTCCCATTTTCAATGGGTTCAGGGTATAAAAAAAAGAAATAACAACGAAGGAGCACAACGATAGTCATAGCGGTATGAGTGAACGGAGCCAACATGTTGTGAGTACTGGTACAGACTTGTCGGCCGAAACAATATTTCAATGTGATTTATTGCAACGACTTACGACTTGTCGCACAGACATGTATGAACTCACACATACTGGTGAACCAGTTCTGAACGTCGACTTCTGCATACACAAAAACAAAAAAAATATATATATATATATATATATATATTTTTCTTTTTTGTATGCAGAAGTCGACGTTCAGAACTGAATAAAAATATGAAAATAAATAAAACAAAATATAAATAAATAAATAAAAATAGATATAACACTAAATAAGAAATTAATAATACAAATAATTATGTCGTTAAACAAACACTAATTGTATTTCTTCAATTCTGCAGATGTAAATGAAAGCATTGAGGAAACGTTCCACCAGGGCACCACACATAACTACACACTTCACTCCACACTGAGCAAAATAAACTAAGATTATTTTTAAGTAATCATATTTAATATACATACACTCACACTTAAGAAAATTTTACAACGGTATACAAACACACATACTTACTTATACAACAATTAACCCAATTAATGTCGACTATAGGTAAAGTTAAGAAACTTATCCCAAGCACTAGAAGTAGGACTAGAATTAGCAGTAGCCTAACGGACATTAGGGAAACCCGGACTGTAGCGAGAACTGAGGACATTACTCCAATGACATCTACTTCGAGCTCTCCACCACCCAGTCAGATCCCCAATATGAATAATCACGTGGACTGTTTGAATACACTAAAAATTCCTGACGCTATTCGTTTCTTGCCAACTTATGATGGCAATTCAAAGACCCTCAGTGAATTTATCACTAACGTTGAAGAAATACTTCTCCTCATTAGAGGAACCGACCAGACTCCATACGGCCAAATGCTATTAAGAGCTATTAGAAACAAAATTGAGGGAAAAGCTATGGAAGCTATTATAGAGGAAGGAGCTAGCCTTAATTGGGACTAAATAAAGGATGCTCTAATCCTACATTGTTCCGATAAGAGAGATGAACTTAATGTATGAGCTACATACGTTGGTTCAAAGCTCACTACCACTTCGTACTTTGTACGAAAAGGTATGTGAAATTAAGATCGCCTTGTTTAGATTGACAGATACAAAAGAGATAGAACCAACACTAATCAAGACTAAGAAAAATCTATTTGCCGACATTTGTCTGAACTCATTCCTATCAGGTATTAAGGGTCCCTTAGGTACAGCAGTCAGGGCAATGAAACCCACAAACCTTGGAGAAGCTCTACAATGGGCTTTGAAAGAGCGTGAAATTTACCTCACCCAGAACACACACAAGACACAAGGCCACAACCGTAGCATCGAAGATTCAAAACCTAGCACTTCTAGACAAGGGAATTACCAGGGATATAGACAACGTGCAAACTGAAGCTCAATTACATAACTACAATGACCAGCCAAACTTTCAGGTAAAAGCCTCCAAGAACAATCAGGATACTTAATAAATAGATATTTAGGACCTCCCCTCCCATACATACAACTATCATTGATACCCAACCAACCCCCAACGAAATAAATTAACCGCTAGATTTTCTAAACATAAAATATTAGTAGATCAGGGCATAACCCTTCTAACAGCAAAGTACCAAAAGATACATAAGTCCAAAATCAGGAAGAGACTAAGAAAAATAAATTAAATATATAACCTCTTACAGGTGCCACCACATAAACGCTCAATTACTAAACATTCAACATCTAACGGACAATGATAAGATGGCACAAATTAATCTCGGTAACGCAAAAATCGTAATTTCACACAAATACCTAATTCATAAAATTAACCTACAAGATTCTATTGACAATGTAAACAAATTTGAAATAGCATTAAATGATCTTAAAGACGCTAAATTCTCGGGAGAAATTATTAACTCCGTAAAAACCAAATTAACACAAGTAAAACATAAAATTAACGCAATAGTACCAAAGATCAGAAATAGAAGAGGGTTAATTAACGGACTAGGAAGCGTATAATAATAACGGGTAACATGGACGCCACGGACGAAATAACCATTACAAACAAATTCAACAAATTAGAAGAGAACGAAAGAAATATAATTAAAAACATTAATCAACAAAATATCATTAATAACGACATAGCAATAAGATTCAAAAACATTACTGACCATATAAATATGGAACAGGAAAACATAAACTTATTCATTAAGAACTATAAAAATAACATTTTTAAATCATTGAACGAAGAACACAATGAAATTCATCTTTTACAATACATATCTAGAATCAATTTCAATATCGACATTTTGTACAACCATATTAATAATATAGCAGAAAGCATCCTATTAACGAAACTAAATGTAATACCTAAATTTATCTTAACAGAAAGAGAGATGCTCATAATTAAACAAATAATTGATGAACAAAATTGTCCAACTAACTCAGAAGAACATCTGTATAGACTATTAACTTTAGATACAATAATTAAAGAAACAAGTAAGAACGTTGCAGTCGGGCGTTACCGACTGCGGAATACTCATTCACATCCCATCAACAATTTAGTAGTTAAGTTTCGCTCTAATACTGTAGAATATACAGGTTTTTCCGATTTGCCACGCCCCAACTGGGCGTAGACACCTCATTTTTGGTCAGTTTTTAGAAAGAGATAACGGTACCCTAACTGCAAAGTTTGAATGCTTACCCTCAAAAAATGTGAAAATTACAGGGTATTTTTCGATATGCCACGCCCCTAAAGAGGCGTAAAAATTATTTTTGGGGAATCGATAGAGGAGGCTACCAGTAACTCAACTATCCAAATTTGAAGCTTCTAGCTATTATACTTTAGGAGATATAAATTTTTGCGGTTTGCCACGCCCCCTGTGGGCGGACATATATCCGACAAAACTTTTTGGTCTTGGGTGATCAGTCCGAGTATATATACAAAATTTGAGGTCTCTGCCATCAATAGTGTCCAAAATATAGGAGAATTTAAAAAATCACTATATCTTCAGGTCCGATTTGCCACGCCCCCAATGGGCGTAGACTTGTAATTTATCTTCAGACTTTATAGAATCATACCATTAGCTGACTTGCAAAATTTCAGCATTCTAGGTTTACAACTTTAGGAGATACAGTTTTATCCGATTTGCCACGCCCCCAATGGGCGTAGATATATCCGCCATAGCTCGTGATCTTGGGTGGTCGACGCGGACCTACATACCAAATTTCAGCTTTCTAGCTCTTCAACAAACATGATTTCTGGTATATCGGAAAATGCATTTTCCGATTTGCCACGCCCCTAGTGGGCGGATCGGGAAAATTTTAACACTTTATAAATCGGAGATATACACGAGTATGTGTTCCAAATTTCAAGTCTCTAGCTTCAATAGCGCCGAAATAGAGTGCGTTCATACGGACAGACGGACAGACGGACAGACGGACGGACGGACAGACGGACAGACGGACGGACAGCAAGACGGACATTGCACAAAACCAATATACTGATTCACTTTCGTGAATGAGTATAAAAACTGTAACCTTTAAAATTAACATACCAATATTTGATACAAACAATTATGAATTAATACACATTGTTCCTCTACCTATTAATAAGACCAAAATATTAATTTTACCAAAATATGTAATACATAACCAAGCTGGCATTATCAAAGAAATAAGTAGCAAGTGTCCGAAAGTCCATCAGTCATATATCTGCGAAGACAACATTACTCCAGCAATCAACCAACAGTGCCTAAAGGGCATTCTAAACGAAGAAACGACAACATGCGACATTAAAGATATTGGCAGCGAAGAAATCATTAAAGAAATAGAACAGCTCCACATTATCGTCTTCAATACAATTAACACAACAATCACATCCACATGTGGCAGACCGAAACGAATTAACGGATCAGCCATTATCACATTCAAGAACTGCTCCATTAATATAAATAGATTGAAATACGATGACATAGAGATTGATTACACCGAAGAATACATTCTCTCGATTCCAGAACTCGAGGACATTAAGATAAATAATACTATTAATGATATCAGTCTACACAAGCTCCACCTACAGACTCTCAACACACAGAACGGAATAATAGAGATGAAAAACTTAAACGTTACCCACTTAACAGCAATATACGTCCTAATGGCATTATTTGCTATAACGATTGGCATCGTGTGCACCTGCAAAACCAACAAAATTCTGTTTACTCCGATGGAAACACCTTCAGACGGACTTCCAACTATACCGTCGCTATGGCCGTCGCTTCACACTAGGGGGGGAGGAGTTACCATCTCAGCCCCTTCAATTCCCCCTGAGATGGCCCCCACCAAACCGCATCGGTTCAGCACAGCACATTGCTCCAATTCGTGTGGGCACGACTGCTGACCAAGACTATGTTGCGAAACTGCAACATCAGCTTTGGGCAGAATGTCGCGACACATATAAACAAAAGATACATTACAGTCAGCTTGGTTTAGATTTAGCGATATATATATTTTCTTGAATAAATGTATGCTCAGTTCGAATCGAGCAAGTAAAGAAGACGGATGTCTTTTTCATTACAATCAAAGAATTACACAGGAATATCTCTAGCAACAGCATCTGGATCGTCTCATTACTGGCAATTGATACGCAGCACTCCCCATCCATCCTCCGAGGACGACTCCAGACTGGTAACTCGCGCTCCTACCAATTGACGCATTTGAAGACAACATTGAAGCATTTATTCGTGAGATACCGGCCGAAATGTTGGAAATGCATTTTCCGATTCGCCACGCCCATAGTGGGCGGATCGGAAATATTTTAGCACTTTATAAATCACGAGTATGTGTACCAAATTTCAAGTCTCTAGCTTCAAAAGCGCCGAAATAAACTGCGTTCATACGGACAGACGGACAGAATCCTTGATTTGTTTTACGTGACGTGTACCCCGATGGGGGTTTACAACCACGGTACTCGCATGTGCCATGTGACGTTCACGCAATGAGACTCAGTAAGTGAGATAATGATAAACTCAATGCAAACGGTCTACACATTATTTTGTGTGTTTAGATTAAAAGAAATAAATTTTTTCAAAGAGCAATTTAAGTTTATTTGCTAATAATGTTCGCTGTACTATTTGCATGTAGTATTATATACATATATATGTATATAGTATTATATATATTTTATATAATAAAAATTAATATATTTAATAGATAAGTATATAAACACAACAGCCCACAAAACTAAATTCTCGATCGCAATCCCAAAAGACTTTTATTTTCATTTTACTTAACGGGGATCAACCAGAGCAAAAGAGAACAAAACGAAAATGAGCGCGAACAAGCTTGTCAAGATCTCTGAGACTTTCTCAAAGTGTGAGTGAAAGTCACTTACTTTCAGACAACGAGAAACGGTCAACAGTTATTTGCGAGCTATGTGCTTAAGGAATTTAAAAAATTTAAATTTTACTTTAAAATATGACAGTATTCCCAAAATAAATTAATATGTATGTAGATCTATTTTTAAGTATACATATATGCTTTATCAAAAATACGTATTAGAAAACTTTCATGTCTATAAATATATATGCCAAGTAATGGTAGAGTTTCCACAGTGTGAAATTTCAGATTATTGTTGAATGAAATTTAATAATTACACATTATCGAATGTTTAAAAATATATCCATTGGTTTTTGCATGCTCGGTCCGCAATAGAGATTATTCCTGTGTTGTCTTGCCAGGCAAACGCAACAAAACTACTCCGTTGCAAGCAGTGCAAAATTCTCAAAATGCATCTTACCTTGTACTGATTCGTCATCAAGGTCGTCGGTGCTGCATGTGATCCTTGCTGTAAATAGTGAAAATTAAACTTAAATATCATAAAATGGTTAATCTCACCTCTAGAGCCTTTTGTAGAATTAATACCAATAGAGCTGTTACTACCACCATTACGACTATAAAGAACATTCTCTAAGTATGATAGTCCGTTATTGTTGACAATATTTAACCCCAGGCACGTTTCTATTTGCTTCCAACGGTGGAGGCGTTCCTGTAATTCATTAGTTACTTCGCCAAGAGCATTACGTGCTTCAACAATAGAACGATCAACGTCATCGATGCTCTTGCCGTGAGTTGAAACGAAGGCGCCGACCAAGCTTGAACGCTTTTTACGTAATTTTTCACATGCTTCACGTGCGGATTGAAGTTGTTTTTCCGCAGAAATACGTTTTTTTTGATGGTTTTTGCTTTCTAATTCATATGTGTACTGTAGCCATGATTGTAGCTGCTGAGGTGGGGTCCAACAATTGTCCACCAACTCGTATTCGGCACGTGTTAATTCATTGCGTAACATCTCAATTTCTTTCTTTAACTGCTGTACCTCCAGATCTGAGCTTGACGTGCTAAATGAAGGCACTTCCTTAAGCCGCCTTTCGAGATCCATTTTTTCTGTGGCAACATTTTCCTGCTCCATGCGAGCTAACTCCAATTCCTAATTTAGCAGATTACATTTAAAATATATTTTGTCGAAAGCATAGTCCTAAAATACCTTTTGCATTTCTTGGAGACTCTGTTCAGCTCGTTGTAATCCTTCCATGTCCTGCGCCATTCGGCGCAAGTGTCGCTTAGCATTTTTATTTTGCTGATAAGCATACCAACATCCTATTATAGCACTCAATAAAAGAGTGACAAGAATGTAATCCTTCCAGCGAGTGCCGGTTTCTGTACATAATAAGTCAAGCACTTAAAAGGCGGCCGGACAAATAAAACTTTAGACCTACCTCGTGGCGGGCCAAAAAGAACAACATCCATGGCTTTCAGCGAAATTTTTTGCTTATGTATTGGATCTTTTATACCTAGAACATTGCTTACGTAATGTAAATTATTTACAGCCAACCTAAAATAAATCATTTTAATAATATCAGAAATATAGTTCAGTGAAGTATATATGAAATGTGTATATCAATTTAGTGAGCAATGTCGGCTCGACAATATTAAAGCAAACCAAGTAATAAAGCTCTAGTCAAAACCGCTCGATAATGAGATCCACTGAACTTATCTGGGATCTGATATGCTTCGTATCTTTTCATCTTACCGAAGAATTAACATATATACAAACACCTTACGCATAAGCACGCATTGCCTGCAGTATGAGATACTATGGAAAATTATTGTTTAATAACCTTTTATATGCTGACCTCATTATACCCTGAACCCATTGAAATGGGAAAGTATGTAACAGGCAGAAGGAGGTTTGGCAGACCCCACAAAGTATATATGTATATTCTTAATCAGGACGACAAGCTGAGTCGATTTGGCCCTGTCCGTCTGTCTGTCCATCCGTATGTATGAACGCGTCGATCTCAGAAAATATAAAGCTAGAGACTTGAAATTTGTTTTCTTAGGTCCGTGTATGTCATCGAGTTTTTCTCTAAATACCGATAATTACTCCCGATTATTGTTATCGATTAAAAAGCTGATCGAAACCTAGTTATTTAATTATATCTCCTACACCTTTAGACCTAGAGCTTCCAAATTTTAAATGTATACATACGTAAATGAATTTATACATTTTCGATTTCTGTTAAAATTTACCCCACACCTCTATATCCACCCCCTCACCATCACCTTTGAAAAAGGCGTATTTCAAATACTAGAGACTTGTTCTTTGGCAGACACACGCCCTTTAATGTTATATTAACCACCTAAAAGTTTTATGAGCATAGTTCATCAACAAGAAAAGTTATTAAGCAATTAAATTTCATAATAAGCCCACACTGCTGCTAGTGCGATTTTATGCTTGCATTTCTATGTTTTATACCCTGAACCCATTAAAAATGGGAAATCAGGGTATAATGGTTTTGTGAAAAAGTAAGTAGCAGGCAGAAGGAGGCGTGGCAGACCCCACAAAGTATATATATTATTGATCAGGGCGATGAGCTAAGTCGATATAGCCCGGTCCGTCCATCCGTCTGTCCATCTGAACGCGTCGATCTCAGAAGATCTAGCAGCTAATAAAGACTTAAATTTTTTTTTGTTAAATGTCCGTATATATAGCGCGGATATCGAATTTATCGCAAAAAATTGATAACTCATCTCGTTACTTTTTATCGATAAAAAATCGTATCCAAAATTTTTTATAAAATTATATCTTCTACAATTTTAAAGCTAGAGTCTCCAAATTTTTAAAATATATGCACTTTATGGAATTTCGATTTTTGTCAAAATTTACCCCCACCTCTAATTCACTCCATTATCCACATATTTGTAAAAGGCGTATTTCAAATAGTAGAGACTTGTGCTTTGGCAAATCCATGCATATCTATGTTATAATCATAATCTGAAGATAGTTTATTCACAAAAAAAGTTTTTAAACAATTAAGTTCCCATAGTAAGTTATCACTGAAGCCAATGTGTGTTTATGCGTGGGTGCGTATGGCTGTGTGTGCGCGTGTGTGTATGCAAGTGCGAATAATTATTGAAATATCAGTTGCTCGAAGGGTTCAGGGGATCTCGTAGTCGAGCAGTCTCGACTAGAGCCTTTTTAGTTGTTTTTCATACCCATTCACGAAAGTAAAATGAGTATATTGTATTTGTGCAATGTCCGTCTGTCTGTCCGTATAAACGCAGTTTATTTCGGCGCTATTGAAGCTAGAGACTTGAAATTTGGGATAGATACTCGGGTATATCTCCGATTTATAAACTGTTAAAATTTTCTCGATCCGCCCACTAGAGGCGTGGCAAATCGGAAAAAGCATTTCCGGATAAAACTGTATCAGCTGGAATTTTAAAGCTAGAACTCTGAAATTTTGCATATAAGCTGCTGTAACTGCTCGACTACGAGATCCCCTGAACCCTTCGAGCAATAGCTATTTCAATCATTTTTTGTGTATTTTTGCTTACACAAGAAACACGCACACACACACACTCGCATACATACTCACACATACACACACACAAGCAGCCACATATAAACACGCATGGTGCAGTGTGCGCTTACTAAAGAACTTAATTGTTTAATAACTTTTCTTGTGGATATACGATCTTCATGAAGAGATTATGATAATAGCATGAATATGCATGCATTTGCCAAAGCATAAGTCTCTAGTATTTGAAATACGCCTTTGCAAAGGTGGGGGTAAGGGGGTGAATATAAGGGTGAGGGTAAATTAAAAAACAAACGAAATTTTATAAAATACATATAAGTCTACATTTAAAATTTGAAAACTCTAGCTCTAAAGGTTTCGGAGATATAATTAAATAACTAGCTTTCTATAAGGTTTTTAATCAATAATATCGGGAGTTGTTATAGATATTTAGAGAAAAACACGATATGCGCGTGATATACACGGACCTAAGAAAACAAATTTCAAGTCTCTAGCTATTATATCTTCTGAGATCGACGCGTTCATACATACGGGTGGACGGACAGACAGACGGACAAGGTCAAATCGACTCAGCTCGTCGCCCTGATTAAGAATATATATACTTTGTGAGGTCTGCAACGCCTCGTTCTGACCGTTACATTTTTATACTCATTCACGAAAGTGAATCAGTATATTGGTTTTGTGCAATGTCCGTCTGTCCGTCCGTCCGTCTGTCCGTCTGTCCGTATGAACGCAATCTATTTCGGCGCTATTGAAGCTAGAGACTTGAAATTTGGAACACATACTCGTGTATATCTCCGATTTATAAAGTGTTAAAATTTTCCCGATCCGCTCACTAGGGGCGCGGCAAATCGGAAAATGCATTTTCCGATATACCAGATATCATGTTAGTTAAAGAGCTAGAAAGCTGAAATTCGGCATGTAGGTCCGCGTCGACCACCCAAGATCACGAGCTATGGCGGATGTATCTCCGCCCATTGGGGGCGTGGAAAATCGGATAAAACTGTATCTCCTAAAGTTGTAAATCTAGAATGCTGAAATTTTGCATGTCAGCTAATGTTATGATTCTAAAGTCTAAAGACAAAATTATAAGTCTACGTTCATTAGGGGCGTGGCAATTTGGACCTGAAGATATAGTGATTTTTCGAAGTCTACTATATTTTGGAAACTATTAATACCAGAGTCCTCAAATTTTATATATATACTCGGGCTGATCACCCGAGACCGAAAAGCTTTGTCGGACATATGTCCGCCCACAGGGGGTGTGGCAAACCGCAAAAGTTTATATCTCCTAAATTATAATAGCTAGAAGCTTCAAATTTAGATAGTTGAGTTACTGGTAGCCTCCTCTATCGATTCCCCAAAAAAATAATTTTTACGCCTCTTTAGGGGCGTGGCATATTGAAAAATACCCTGTACTTTCACTTTTTTTTAAAGTAAGCATTCAAACTTTGCAGTTAGGGTACCGTTATCTCGTTCTAAAAACTGACCAAAAATGAGGTATCAACGCCAAGTTGGGGCGTTGCAAATCGGAAACCCTGTATATTCTACAGTATTAGAGCGAAACTTAGCTACTAAATTGTTGATGGGATGTGAATGAGTATTCCGCAGTCGGTAACGCCCGACTGCAACGTTCTTACTTGTTTAATTTATGGCATATTGGAAAATGCATTTTTAGATTTGCCATGCATCTAGTGGTCGGATCGGGAAAAGTTGAACACTTTATAAATCGGAGATATATACGAGTATGTGTTGCAAATTTAAACTCTCTAGCTTCAATAGCGCCGAAAACGGACGGACGCACAGACGGACGAAAGGCAAGACGGACATTGCACAGAACCAATATACTAATTCACTTTCGTGAATGAGTATAATAATTCTTTTTCGTGAATAAGTATAATAAGTAAGAAAGCTCCAGTGGAGACTGCTCGACTACGGGATCCCCTGAACCCTTCGAGCAACTGATATTTCATAATTATTCGCACATGCACACACGTCCACACACAAACATACGCAAGCATGCAAAACCACGCATTGGCTGCAGTGGTGGGAACTCAATTGTTTAATAACTTTTTTGTGGAGGGACTATCTTCATGAAACTTTTAGATTATGAATATAACATATATATGCATGTTTTTGCCAAAGCACACGTCTCTAGTATTTTAAATACGCCTTTTACAAATGTGTGGGTGAGGGGATGAATATAGGGTAAATTTTGAAAAAAATTGAAATTCTATAAAGTATATAGAAATTTACCTTTTCAATTCGGCGACTCTAGCTTTAAAGGTGTAGCAGATATAAATTTTATTACTGGTTTTCGATAATGATTTTAATCGATAACAAAATAACGGAGTATGTTATCGATTTGTAAACTCGATATGCGCGTTGTACACACGGACCTAAGAAAACAAATTTCAAGTCTCTAGCTATTATATCTTCTGAGATCGACGCGTTCAAACATCCGGACAGACAGGCAGGCGGTAGAACGGACAAAGCTAAATCGACTCAGCTCGTCGCCCTAATCAAGAATATATATGTAACAATATTTTGTATATAATTGTGTTTTATTAATTAGATTGAATATTTGTAATTGAAATTATTAGAGTATTGAGCTCTTAAACAACTTTAGAACACTGTGATTGCTTAACTTCCAATCACCAGCGTGTAAGTCTTTCTTCTTCTTAAAATGTCTTCTATCCGTCTTGTTCCATCAACGCCTTCTCAACAACTGCCTTCGTTTTTAAAACGGAGTTGCTACCCTGTTGCTATTGTGTAACTAGGATGCCACACCGTTCGAGAACGCTTCTCATGCCACTTCACATTCGATCATCCTGATCATCGTCTGCCTCAGATGATTCCTCGGAATCTGTTCCTTCGTTGTAGTCGAAATAACGCCAAAGCTTCATGTTGTCCTCACTGGTGCACGTCATATTCGGGCTTTTGTTTGCCAGCTTCCTGATTTTTACGAATTGTGTGAGTTTAATGGCGTTGCGCCCTCGCTTCATGGGCT